GCTGAATGGGGGGTTGGGCAGGGGAGGCAAGAGCTGAGCTGAACGTGGACAGGCTTTGCTTTGTCTAGTGGGGGATTCGGATCAGGTCTGGATGGGACTTGCCTGGACAGAGACTCTGCCCAGGGTCCCAGGGTGGGGAGTTGAATGATTGAGGAGGAAGGGAGGGAGGGAGGCAGGGAGGCAGGGAGAGAGAAAGAAAGGAGGAGGGAGGGAGGAAGTAGAAAGGAGGGATGTCTACTGCTGGTGGGAAGCCCCGCCCCCAGCCCAGCAAAGAAAGTAGGGGAAAGGTCGCTGGAGGGAAAGGGGGGGTGAGGGCCCAGGACAAGGGGTGAGTGTGTCCTAACTGTTGCCAGGGTGGGGGCCAGCCCAGAGTGACTGCAGACACTTTCTGGCCCCTGGGGCAGCTCCCCTTTCCCCTACTTTCCTTTCTTCCAATCAGGACAGGCACCTGGCCAAACCACCAATGTGGCTTCCATTAGCACCAGCTGTTTCTCTCTCCAGCTCTGAACTTTCCCCTACTTGGCAGGACTGAGCTGGAGTCTGGGAGTTCCCAAATCCATGAGTTCCCCCCTCCAAATCCCCTCCACATCCCTCAGCCTGGACCTATACCTACTAGTCCATCCCAGAAGCCCCTCATCCCAGGACAGAAATTTGGGATGGTGTACTGGACCCTTTCTGATAGGAGTGGGGGCAGGGGGGGGGGCCATGGGGGGGGAGGGGGAAGCCCTCAAAAGAGAGAGCTGGAAGCCAGCAATCAGTTTGAGGGTGTGAAGGGGAGAATCTGAACTTTTACCCAGTTGGCTACAGACAGACACAGATGCCAGGCCGGGTGATGGGGTAGGAGGACCAGAGGGAAGTCGGCTGGCTCTGGGGCCATGAACTTAAGGTGGGGCAGAGACAGGAAGCTGGGAGCCTGTGTTGACATACACAGACATGTGGTTGGAAATTTGGGGCAATTTCAGGCATACATTCAAACAGGACCCAGAACTGCAGAGGTGGCAATGCTAGCTCTCTGTGGAAGTAGGGGAATGGGAAATGGGGGTAATCAGGTACTTTGGGACCAAGAATGGGGTGAGGGACCAGGTGCTCAGATCAGCAGCCCTGGATTTGTCAGAGATGCAAGAGTGAATGCGTCTGGCCAGGGAGATAGGGTCCCTGCACTTGCTCTACCGCCTTCTACCGCCTAGATCCACATTCCAAGTCTTAGAACCCTTCTCACAGACAGGCATTTGCTGTTCATCCAATAAGGACTTCAGACACCCCAGCCGGCACCCTCTTGTCCACCATGTGCCCTCCTAGAAAGTTCCAACCTCCATGGAAGTGTCCCTGCACCCGCCCTCTTCCCCACACTCCTGCAGCCCAAATCCCTTTTAGACTTGGACCCTCTTTCCCAACCCTTGCTCTATTAGTGGCCAGCAAGTCTTTGGGGAAAACCCACTGGCCCACTGGGAAGAAGGGTGGGGCAGTCAGGGACAGAGCTGAAGAAGGTGCCCCATTAGCCCTTCACCAGAGCCCAGAGGGACCCAGGGCCAAGACTCTCTCCTCAAGTAAGATGGATGTGACAAGGTGGGTACAGGAATGGCAAAGTGTATGCTGTGTGCGGTGGGAGCTGCCAGAGGACAGCAAAGGGCTGGACACTCACTGTGTAGGTGGGTTACATTGTGAGTGGAGCCAACAAGCTGGGACATCTTGGGTAGCCTCTTCCTCCTGGCAGGCGTGGCCACCCCGCGGCCCAGGTGCGTGGGGGCCAGGAGGCCCACCTGGGGAAGGACGGGAAGAGAAGGTCAGATATGACTGGCTCACATCCAGACTCACAGGTTCAGCTTGGACCTCCCTGCCCTCCTGGTGCAAGCATCTGGTACCTGCTCTGCAGGTTCTGGATTCTCAGGTGCTGCTTTTCCAGGTGCGCTGCTGTTGGGCCACCTTTTGGAAGAGGAGCTCGATCCTGCTGTTCTGAGCCTTGAGCTGAGTCTGGAGAGAGTG